AAAGAATTTCTTAAATGTAAAAGTAAGTTTTAATATTCAATAGAATTCTTGGCTAACAGTCCTTTTAATATATTCAAAATTCGGTGATGATGATGGGCCAAACTTCTGTAGAGTAAAAATAGTAGATGTTAGTTCCAACAATCTCTACATGGAGCTATTGAGTTCAACCTAACTTTAAAGTTGGTATGAAAACCATCTATTCTCCGAGCTTAAACAAAATGGAGTGCGAATATTTCACAAATTAACCCAACCTGGAGTTGGAATCCAACAAAATCTGTAGTTTAGTTAAAGTCAAAGCTTAGCTATTCTAAAGAATGAACAATCAAAATCCCAACCTTTTTCCAGAGTTTGAGTAAACCTGAACCAAACCTTGCTCCGGAGACTTTTCAAATTGATCCCAACCTTGCTTCGGAGAATTTTCAAACTAAACCCAACCTTGATCCGAAGAATTTTCAAACTAAACCTAACCTTGCTCCGGACAGCTTTCAAACTGAATCCAACCTTTTTTATTGAATCCTAGAATCCTGAACTAAAAGTTTGAGTCTAGCTGAATTCTAGAACCCTGAACTGTAAAGGTTGTATCCAACTGAATCCTAGAACCCTGAACTATAAAGCTTGTATCCAACTGAATCCTAGAACCCTGAACTATAAACCTTGTATCCAACTGAATCCTAGATCCCTGAACTAAAAAGCTTAAATACACATGGAGAAATAGTTTTAGCGAACGGTATTTTGGGTGGAGCACACAATATCAATCGACGAATTGAAACAAAATAATCATTGTAGATTTATGATATGATACTTCCTCCTTCTTAAATCTCCTATAGACATCTCAAAATTTTATATCTTTTACAAATTAAATTCGGATACCACCCAACCATTATGCTCTTTCTATTATCAGAAACAATGGAGGAATTGTGAGAGATATACACTTTTCAAGTTTGAAGACGACAATATCTTCCACATTTTTGATCAGAGAAAAGGGTTAAGGGTAACTGCACCGGCAGCCGTAGTACATTTGAATTTCCGAGCCGGGTCAACCTTTCCGGTCCCAGTTTGTACTGTATCGGCGGACATTGGGTAAATAAAGCAGACACTCAATAGGACTAGCCAGTGCAACAAGGTTGACGCGGTCAGACTTTGGGTTCAATTTACTTTTACTAATGGGTCAGAGGTGCGTGACTGTGTTAACCGGGCATGCCCCTCGATAAATGAAGGGATACTAAAAATTATAACTTTACACATGCATAATGCATAATGCATACACGTTTTAACCCTATTCCTTCTGGGGTACTTTAAAACCATGATACCCGATGGTGGAGGGGGGGGGGTCAATTTGACCCCCCCCCTCTCTAAATACCATGTTTGATGTACAAATATGACAAATGATACATCATTGGAAAGCTTTGATGTTCTACTGCAATACTGCAATAAAATTTGTGAATTTGCAAAGAAAATGTCCAAAAAATGATAAAATATTCATTTTTGAAAAGCCTTTAACCATGGAATAGGAACATCAGATATAACTTTCATGGGTCGCTATCAAGAGCTAAAGTAATTAGCTTTCAGTCTATACACCCTTTCATTTTTGTTTTAGTCTTATAATTTGAATTAAATATTTTTATTAATGTGATTGTGACCACAAAGATGGGGTGGCTAATGACTTAAGGCGTTAAATGCAGTCTGAGAGGGGGGACAGTTTAAATTGAAAAGTTGGGAAGGGGGGGGGAGTAGGGTGAAGGAGAATACTTGAAAGATGAGAGGGATGTCGTTTTCAAATCTTTTTTTTTTGTCCCCCCCCCCCCTCTTCATAAATATTCTTATCATTCTCTTTTTAACATCCTATTCCTCTTATGTTATTATATTCTCATTCTGTTTCTTTTTAACGTATTCGTTCTTTTTGGGACCTATCAGGTTTTTCATCATGGTCTTATCCTGTTGTCTTTTTGGCTCTTTTTTGCTATTTTTTATAATTATCTTCATATGTATTCTTTAAATTGCTTTAAATTTTACACACCCCATAGCTAATTTGGAACTCAACTTTGGACATAGTGAACACCCTTGATTTTCGAGTAGTGTATTAAATACTTTCAACTACAAAAAATGAGATTTTTTTTGCAACATTAACTAGTTGAATTGAAGTATGCCGCGTCCATTAGCGCCTGATCCTATCAGGGTTCAGCCATGTGTTTGGTGTTTATTCTGAACCAATAGAAATTGCATGGCGATAACATCTATCTTTCTATCTAGCTCATTATCCAATTAGAGATAAATCCTTATATCGGCGTTGTAGCAGTAAATGGAAACATTTACTTTTACTGAAACTATGGTGGAAAAGGTATGATTTGAAAATTCTATTTTAAAAACTATTTCGAATAAACTTTCTAAAGAGAAAAAAAGAGAAAAGTTAACCATGCAAGACTCTCTACCGACGTACATTTGAATATCCGAGCTGTCGGCCAACCAGTGCAGTCCTACTTTGGACTGCACCGCCAATTTGCAATTACCAAAGCGGCAGGGGAGTGTGGCAAACATAATGAACTCCAGCTATTTTTTTACGTCTCATGCTTTTGTTTTAATCCCTGTATATGTGAGGCGACTACCTAGAAATGGTTTAATTAGGTTTGGCTTGAAATATCCCCAGGCTAGGTCTAGTTGTGTTAAATTTACTTTGAATGTAACTCTAAAACAGTGCCCGACCACTGAGCCGGTAAACGATCTGAATGAATGAATTTACATAAATAGGACTTAAAGTGTTCAGGTAGATAAGTTACCATTGTTCTAAACCTTACAATATTCACCAGATAAATATAGTTATTTCTCTCAAATATATATAAACATTAAATATTTGAAACATAATTTTAGTAACACTAATTAAAGTTTTTTCTTTAAGTTTATTTTGTTACTTGTTTGTTTACTGTAATAACGTAACACTGAGATTTAAAGGTTGCAGCTCTTAAACAAAAATCTATAATTAAAAATTTTACCAATTACCAAATGTAAATATTATTATTGGTAAGATTTGCTTCATAAAGTGTATAAATTAATAAAAATATGGGTGTGCTTATAATATGCTTTGTTTGACAAGGTCAAATAAGATAATTGTTAATATCTGTTTAAAAAAGTGATCTTGATTAGATTTACATATTTATAATATTACTAATAATAAAATTACATCCAGTAATATATAATAAGATTTAAAATTGTATATATATTCTTAAGGTTTTTCTTTGGTGGTTTGTATTTTAGAAAATTCACGGAACCTCGACAGCTGTTGGTGGTTTTATCTCTCAACCAGTTCAATAATTGCAGGGGTTAGGGTGAAGATACAATCTTTAATATTTTCTTCCAGTTTCTCGTTCAAGCCAATTTTTAGATTCAAACCGGTTTTATCAAGTGCACACTTGACTTTGCAACGGAAACTATGAACACTGGTAAATTTGCAGGTATTTTTAATGCAAAAAATAAAGATTGGAATCTGTTTCAAGTAACTGTAAAATTGGACTTAATGATTTACTTACAGAGACTCAACTTTATTTAGCAAATTAACAAATTCTATTTCTATTGTGAAAACAAAAAGTTTCGCGGATTTTATAAAAATTTCGTGGATTTTCAAAATTTATGGTTTGTTGGTTTTTTTGGAGGCTACTTTTAAAATTTTGCTCATCCATAAACTTTCCGTGGGGTCATGTGAGGTCCCACAATGAATGTTTAGCTATTTTTGACGTTTATTGGATACAAACACAATAATACACAAGAAATAGATATATTAAAGGGAAAAATATTAGTTTTTAGTTCAAAGATATGTATGAAAAATATATATAATAAATGTGTAAAAAATGTATATAATATATGTATAATAAATGTATAAAAAATATGTATAATATATGTATAAAAATGTGAAGTATAAATGTTAAAAAGTCACCAAACGCAGCAAGTATTGGTTATTTTAACTCCATTATAATCGTGAAACGATTAAATTAATGAAAAACCAACATATACATATACATATACATATTCATATACATATAAATACATATACATATACATATACATATACATATACATATACATGTACATATACATATATATATACACATACATATACATATACATATACATATACATATACATATACATATACATATACATGTACATATACATATATATATACATATACATATACATATACATATACATATACATATACAAATACATATACATATACATATACTTATAAACACAAAACTTCAATATTCCATTGAACTAATAGCATAATTATACGTAATACGGTAATTACACTTGTTGGAAATAAATATTTATCAATGATCGTAATAAAACTATTAAATAAAAGCAGGTTCAGTTAAATTTGTCAAGACACGACTTTTAAAAAACGATGTGAAAATTTGTGAAAAATAACAATTTTCCATCTGTTTTTTTTTCTAACAGAAAACAAAACACATAAAATTAAGTCAAATTATCCAAAAAAAAAGATTTGTCGAGGAAAAAAATCCCAGATTTCCTTTTCAGTTAACAGTTTTTTATTTCGTGAATATTACATTATTAGTGTACATTAAAACATCACTTTTTTGCAAGTTGCAAACCGGATATTATCCCCCCCCCCCTAATCATATTCCCCCAATATAATCTGCAAATATGGATTTATATTGAAGATAACAGTGTCATATTTATCTATATCTGTTTATCTTGTAAATCCTCTTTTATTGGCTGTCTTGTCTGTCAGACTGTAATATGTCTATTTTTCGTGTCTGTCAAGCTGATGTTATGTTGTCTTTGAGGACTCTCATGTCTGTGCCCATCTGTCTAAATTGCTAGAAAAAGAAGCTCCCCCCCCCCCGGTCTCATGACCCGTGCCGGCCTGCAGGTAGCAGACTAGTAGCCAGGGGAAGCCATCCCACCCCGCCCAGAAGGTACCGTCCCGACCTACCGGTATACCGCGCCCGGCCCGCGCGCTTTCTGTTAGTTCTTCTTCAACTGAACCGAAAGCAGGACGTGCGTTTAAGTGCTGATTATATTCATTTTATAGTGATCATAAAGTGCTTGGTATCTGCAGTTTCTAAATCAAAATCAAGGAAAAGATTCTGAATAAATTTTTAAATGGTGGCCTACAATAAATGACAATAGGTAATTGCAAGAATACATTTCTCCTCTGATAGTACAATTCGTAAACACAAGATAATCCTTCAACAATAACAATATTTCTATAAAGTTTTTATTCATTACAAAAATATACCTAAACTTTCCCCCTTCTCTTCTATTGAAGTGCTGTTTTTCATCTCAAAATATTGAGACATATTTTTAGCCAAGTTTATACTTCCCTTCAAGTTGATATTGAAAACCCTCTACTCCTCTTCAAATACCCCCCTCCCCTCCCCTACCATTTCTAAACATATATATATAAACACATATAACCCCTTTGTTTTTTCAGGTGACCTCAGAAGAGGCCAATAAGAGCCTCGCACTTTCAAACAATCAAAATGAATTTGAAAAAGTTTTCTCCAATAGTTTTCCTTCTAATTTTATCAAAGGTAAGAATATTAAATAATATGAAAATTTAAGAAATACTCAGGGGTTGGGGGTGGATTGTTTTGAAATTCTATATGTTTGGCATATGTTCTTTTTATGATTGATGACTATATCATATTTCAGGACGTAGAGGCGCGTGAGGCCGGTCCCCAGAGTATATTTGAGTTAAGACTTAAAAAATTTCACAACAACGCGCAGAAAGACGCGTCTGGAAGATGTTGTACGGGACTAACTTCCCCTGGCCCGTGCGCGGGAACTTGTGATACTAAATTTCGCGTGTGTTTGAAGCATTATATGGCCCAGGTCGACTTTATGTCGTCCTGCACATTTGGTGAACAAATAACCGGAGTCATCGGGTCGACCAATCTAAATGTCGACCTTGCTCCTATTCAGTTCGACATCGACTTCAAATGGCCGGTAAGTTTTTTTTCCTAAATGAGAATGAATATCTATCTATCCATTTAATTATCCCATTAATTGATTCAAGCTTGGTTACATGATAATTTGTCTATGTCTTAAACAATGCCTTGTCATTCAATTCTAATCTTGTCGTTTCTACAGACCCTCCCAATTTAATCATTGCTTCCCCAATTCCCACAACTTTTCAAAAAACTTAAAAAATCTATAAAAATTCGATATAAATATTTCTGTTTTGGTAATATACACTTATCCTGTTACTACCCCTTCATGGGTGTGGCGAATTAAGAAACTTTAATCCCTATTAAATGATGGCCTAAGATCTGAAAACTAACTCCCTAATTTGTTAAAACTAATTCACTTTAAAGCATTTTCTCACCCCGCCTCGTCTGTTTGTTTCTATGTTTGTCGGTTAAGTTGTGTCCAAGTAATGAATGAAGGGGGGGGGGTGAAACAGTAATGTATGAAGGGGGGGAGGGGGGGCAGTAATGTTTTACGAACAAACTTATTCAATTGTTTTACAGCCTCCTTCCTTTGAAACAAACAGACGAGCAAAAGAGAAATGTCTAAAAGAGTTAAATACAAAATTGAAAATGCCACTTCAAAAATGTGAAAGAAGTCTGTGTTGATGTTTACTAGACCGAACTCAGTGTCCCAGACAGCCAACAGACGGACAGACAATATGCATTTTCAAGACACGACACTGCTATTAGCATGTCTGTGCTATCATTGTCATGTATTATTTACTTACGAATTTATGCAAAAATAAATTATATGAATATGTTTAGTTGTGCTAAAAACTGGTTTCAAACATATTCGCAATAAGTACGAAACAAGAAGAAAAAATGTGTCAAACTTGCAAAATTTAATTCTATTTTTGCAATAGCACATTTAATGATAATGTGGGCCTTGATGGGTATGATTAACACTGACGGGGGACTTGTCAGTCTCTTCTTGTCGAAAACCAACCGAGCATATTTCTTAAATTCAAAATTGTCATTTTATAAACATCATTTTCTTTTTTAGGGAACTTTCAGTTTGATCATCGAGGCTTGGCATGAAGGCAAGAATATAGGAGCTATGAGCAAACGTGAGTTTTTTTTATAAATTTCTTTTTTCCATAAAACAGTTTTATACAATGTTTTGAGAGGGTTGGTAAGGGTTCTAACTGGTAGACTATTCTCATGCAATGGTTTGGAAACTGAAAATGAAAAATATGTTTTTATATCCAATAAATTGGGTTAGCATGGAGTAATACTGTTATGGTCAGTTTTGATTGGGGGGGAGGAGTACATTGACCCAAATATGTTTTATCTAAATGTATAATTTTAAACTATATCTTTTATATTCTTTGCCATTACTAGATAGTCGCATACCTTATACTTTGTATGAAAACACAGGTTTGCCTCAAGATATAAATAAACTTCATAATTTTTCAAAAAAAAAAATTTCCCCAGAGAATTTACACCTTTATAAATATTCTATAATATATTTTTTTTATGTTTTCTTTCGTTCATTTTTTATTTTAAATTTTTGGTTGAAATATTTTCAACATCATCCCAGACTGCGCTACTTATAGAGTAGGGTTAGGTTCAAACTATAATTTGGTATTCTAGACAATTTACCCCCTCCCCTTCATATTTTGACCACCCCATCCCTTCTCTCCCTAAACTCATAAACAAAACTAGTTTTCAAACCATTCTCCAGTTTTTCTCAATTTTGAATCAAAATTATAAATTCTTTATAGGTTGGAAAAATGTTATTACTCTTTATAGAGGATTGAACTCGTATCCTGGGGCGTATGTCCCCCCCCCCCCGATCCATCCTAATTGTTCAGAAGCTGGAGTTTTGACCCCTTACATAAATATCCAAAATGGACGTTTATTCAAGGTTTAAGTCCTACATTTTTGTCCATGCTTTACGGCCTAAAAAGAGGGTGTTACACCCCCTCCCCCTGGGTTCCCCCCCTCTCTTCGTTTTGGTTCAACCCCCGCTGGTTTTCTTGTAAAATATGTACAAAAGGTTTTTAATGATTTTACAGACATGAACTTTATTTTATTTTTTACGGGGCACCTGTTCATAAATATACAATTTACATGAACTCTCACGAACATGTTCATAAAAAAGCAACTTCATAACCAACTCTTGAGTTTGTGAACTTATATTTTTCATAATTTCATGATTTGATTCTCGAGGAATTTCTTTCAAAATGTAATTTTGATTCGGCTTGTTGGATTGGGAGGGGCGGGGGGCATGGTTAGGGGCTAGGATGTATAGGGTTAAGGGTCACAACTAGGGGTCTAAGGAGGTCTGAATGAACCCCTTGAATCCCTTGAATGGGAGGTGTAATGAGTTTCTAATACGGGTCCCTTAAACCATCCAATACAACCCCTGAGAAACCTTAGCTCGATTCTTTCAATTCAGTCTAATTACTTCAAAGCGTAGTCCCCTCTCCCCCACCTCTCACCATATAAAAATATGTTACTTTTATAAATTTTTAATTCTTAAAACAAATAAGAAATGAAACTGTTTGTGTGTGCTCAAGTTAGTGTGAATGTATTCCACATGTGGAACCAATAAACTTTGCTGGAAAAGGAAATGGACCCTTAGGGACCTATATATGTACCCATATTTGTACCCTCCCCTATCCGCTCCTTGCCCCCTGAGAGACCCCTAAAGCACGGCTCAGTTACAAAACTAATTATTTCAAATTCAAACTTTTCAAATATATCTGCAAAATGTCAAAATCACCTTTCTTACAAATCTTATTGAACATATAGATATATACAGCATTTATAAATTTCTAAATATGTATATGAGGAGAGGGTTGGGGTATATAGTTTCATGTTTTCACTCAGCAGGATCGTAATACATATATTGAGACATTAGGAAGCCCCCATGCTGACCGAAGGTGACACGTTCTGAATATTTTGACTATATTTGATGGCGACTATTTCTTATGACTGTCATCATTGCTCTCAGTATGGTTCTATAGATGGGGGGGGGGGGACTTGTTGTTTCTTTAAAAATGTTGACCATATCTCTATCTTTTCTCGGTCTTCATATCTTGACATAAATTCATTTGTAAAACTATATTTTAGATAAACTTACAGCAAGATTATGTCAACCCTCCATAAAGATGAAATATGTGATCCAGGACGGATAAAAAGTACTACAGGGGGTTCTTAACAGACACAATAACTGTGTGCGTCTGACAGTAGCTATAGTCCTGAGACACCCTGTATAAAGACCATTATATGTGGTCCGAAACACAAGGCTTTGTGTCCGAGATTTCTAAATATAAAATTTCTGACAGATAAATATGAGATGGGATGGTAGAAAGGTATGCAGGCATACCGTGGTCAAGTAGTTCACTCTGTTAGATAGTTAGGCAGTTAGATAGTTAGTTATGCATAGTCTTGGATAGTCATCCCTATCTTTAAGTATCTCATTCCAAGAGTCGGTGTACACTCATTTTTCTCCTAGTTTGTGGCATACCATGAACAGTACCTACAGATCTAGTACTACGATACCCTGATAGAAACTTCAGTGGTTTCGAGTTGGTACGGCCCTGGTGCAGGAGGGGGAGGGCGGAAACGGTAGGGGTCCCCTCCTATCAAACCTAACATCATGGCACCCACAGAAATGGAATTTTGTCGCTGATTTTATCCAAGGATAAAATTCAAATCGTTTTCTGCGCTTGACACTTTTACCCCTTTCCATTAAACTATCATTGGTGGTTTAATTCTAAAAAAGAAGTCACCAAAATCCAGCTCCTCCCTTCATTTTGATGAAGGCAAGTGTGATAAAAAAGGGGCGGGCTTGGAGATGAAAGTGGGATGTGGGCGGGGCAAGAAGATGAGAAGGATATGGGCGGGGTTCCTCTAGAGACCTCAACGCTGTAGTATTGACAATTCAACCCTACAATAACAAACATGACAATCAACTAATCAAGAGCGGATATTTGTTCCGTCCAACCGGATATTTGAATAAAAATGGGTGCCAAACTCAAAGCAGGACCCCCTCCCTAGCTTTTTGTAAATCAAAATCAAGGAAATTTTTTAAAATTTGCTGAAAAGATTTTCAAAGTTTAATTAAAAATGTTTATAAAAAGTGGTCGAGTTGTGACACCATTATAATGCATCATAACCAAGAATTCTAAAGGTTTGGGACAAAAAAATGTCAGTAGAGGAATCTACCTTTTAAAAGTAAGGTTGTGTATTGCTTATTTCATGTTAAATAAAAAGTTTTTTCTTTATTTACTTTTTTGTAAACCGTCATTTTTAAAGTAGATTCCTTAACTGTTGGCCCCAGCAAAAAATGGTAGTAGCGACCATGTGCCTTGTTAGGCAGACACCCCTTGGGCTTTTCTAATTAATTACACAATAGGGTCTCTTCAAACCCAAACTAAATTGTAGTGTCTCCGTCAGTTGAAGAACTTAAATTGAAATTAAATTACTGGTTCAAAATCTTGGGTCGCCCATTAAGTCATTCAGGACTTCTGACTCCTGATTCATAGAAAGATATTAAAGTTTTAAGATACATAATTTACTAGTATTATTATAGCATAGTAACTATTAACAACCACTAAACTTGTTCCCACACATATACTCTCCAGTCATATATATGTAGCTGAATAAAAAAACTGCGGTTTTAAACTTGATAGATTTTTAATCAAATGTTGAATTCAAAAGAAAGTGTTAAATAAGTTTAACAAAAAATTAATGAGAAATTTTTGGTCAGATTACAAAATTTTAGCAGCGTCAAATGAGGCAATTCTCGTTTTTGCACAGTTTCACAGCATTATTTTCTTGGGAAGAAAGTTATAATTAAGTTTGATGTTGCTATAAATTGTTTATAAGAGGGTAGTTAGGATGGAGTTTATAGGTCCGCCCAATTCAACCACTTTTTAGCGCTGGAACCTAAATTAAATGAGTTTTTGGGGTTACCATCATAATAGCAGTGGATCGTGTAGACCAGTACAAAAAATTCCAATTAAAAATTTGAAATTAATTAACTGAACCATGGTTAATTATACATGCAGTCTCTGTATAGGTTTTCAATATGTTAATATTCAAAACTCCTCCCCGTCTTTAAAACACTTTCTAAAATACTTTTTTATAGCCTCCCCCATCCTGCTAATAAGAGGGCAGGGGAGCATGGGTTATATCGGCCACTGACTCACGATTCATCAATAAACCTTACTGAGAATTCTTAGCTAACATTTGACAAGAATTTGGCGGATTTTTTTAACAATATTTGGCGGGGTTTCTAAGCCGAGAAAGTTTTAATGTTTAGTGTTTATTATATTGTTTGTGATGCAGGGTTGATAATGCTACTAGTAACATGATATTAATCTTATAATCTATTGCAGGTGGTAACGATAGTTTGCTACACCGTGTTGTCGCAAAGTCTAGATCTTTGGATTCTGGTAGCCGATGGATTGGGGGAGAGGATTCAAAATTGGACTTCGACTACAGATTGGTCTGTGCTGACAACTACTACGGCAAGGACTGCGACATCATCTGCAAGCCCCGTGACGACAACTTCGGTCACTACACCTGCGGTCCTGAGGGAGAAAAGATATGTTTGCCCGGCTGGGAAATGGGCACGGGCGGCTACTGTTCTAAACGTAAGTCTAATTTTAACATTTAGTTAAGTCACTTAATGAACAAGTAAACGTGTGTCAAGGTCTCATTCTGTATCTCACAGTTTAAAACAGGCATTTTAGATCGTATTGAGATAACAGGACATGTGTTAGAAGGCTCGAGGGGGATATCTGAAGATACATTTGTTGCCTTTATTGAGTGCGATGACTGATAAGTCGGCTTAGTATTGTTTTTCTAAACATTAGGGCGGTATGGGGGGGGGGAGGGGGGAGTCTGGGGAATCTTTTGTGGATTTTTTCATTTTCGCGCATTTTTGGATAACTTCGGAATTTCTTGATGGATTTTCTAATCGGCTGGACATAAGCCGGACGCAACGTCACCTGTTGAGAAGGGACATCTGCCAACATCCGGTCAGGGTAGGGTTAAACCGGAAACCTGGAGAGGGTTAAGCTCGCGTGTGGTTTGAAGGATTTTAGGATTTATTTTGATTTCACCTTTTGAGCCGGATGGAAGGGGGCAGGAGAAGCTTTATATAAAACCATTGTTTTGACCCAACACACCAACCAAATTACATATAATTATATTCCTCGTAGAACAAACAACGGTTGTTAAAGTCAGATTGTAATTACAGACTCTCAAACCAACTACTCGGGGTTTTCAAACACCTTCGCATGCATTCATTTGCTTTCTGAGAGAAGACCGGGCGTTCAATTATTCTTAATTTTATTCATTTTCACAATTTATTTATTTCTAATTTATATTGTCAAGTAAAGAAGATCATGTGTTGAAACAATATCTCAAAATATTGAACAATATATATTTAAGAATATGTGACATCGAGACATATTTTGCTTTTACGTACTTTAGAAGTGTACAGCTGCAAATTTTTCTTTATTTTGTTTTATTGAATATGATGTTCTGGGCCCTTTACATGGCACCACAAGCATACAGGGGACGCTTAAGAGGGGGATATAAGCATGTAAGGGGGAGGTATTATAAGGGGATGGGGGATGGAACAAGTTGGGGTGGGGGGAGCTGGGGGGTTTAGCGTGGCTTGGCCGGAAACATCTGGCCGTGTCACGTGACTAGAGGGGGAAGCGTGCTTGCAGGGATTTAATATGAATCATTTTTATTCATTATTATTATTTTTATCTTTGTAATGTCGGCCATTTTGTTTTATCAATCCCGCCATCTTTAAACTTCCGGTTTATTGTGAATTTCTTCCTGACGTTTTCCCGGATTTCTCAAACAAACATGTTTAAACAACTGGCATCTTGGATTTTAAAATGTATATTTTATACTTAAAAACGTTTCTAAGTTATAAAAAATTTCCTTTCCCCTTTTATTGGTCGTATAAATTTCTTGTTTATACAGGCCCCATGTAGGGGGAGGGGGGGAGGGGGATGTAAAAGGGACTTTTTTATTAGCGCTTCTACCTATTTTTACTCAACATTTTATACTTATAAAAATTATACATTTCTGACTGCATTCTGATATAACGTTTTTGAATTAGAAAAAGCGACAAAAAATGGTTGCATTCAACATTGGCTTAGAAATAGAAAATAAGGACGCTTAAATCAGCTGATAGTTGTTGCAGCTGGCCCCCCCCCCCTTCTGTCTGTGACCCTCTGGGGGCAGATGGGCTAGGGGAAGTCAGGGTTAAATATATTCCTTAAATTCAAAAAAATTTTCCTCTTTTTCACACAATCTATTACTTAGAGAGATTGGATATTTATTATTGTTTTGGCGGGAAAATAAAAAAATAGTTTTTTTTCTAATCGTTATTAATACAATGTATGTTTGTATACTTTACAACTAAGATAAACAAATATACAGATAGATAGATAACGAACATTTTTATGAAAAGCTAATATTTACATTTATCATATCATTCTATTTTTTTATTGTATGTTCGATGTTTTATGCACATTTGAAAAACTGGGCCATATACATTGTTTCCGTTATGACAAGTATATACACGTGGTGTACATCAACATAATAAATATATAAATATATAAAGGACTATTTACAATTTCTTTTATCTTCTCTTTCGTAGGATAAAGAATCAAAACTCTTCTCCCGATTTTGAGAGTTTTCCCTTTTGTTGCATTGTTAGGATTTTCCCAGATATGTCACAGTGTTAAAGTTCTCATTTGCATTAATATTCGAGCAAGGATGGATTGGGGGCAAGAGGGTTGACTTTCTCTCCCAATCAATCCAATTTATGAAATTTTAATTTTTCAATTTTTCTCACATTTTCTGGGTCACAATTGTCGTCCTACAGATTTTTTAGAAAAAAAACTAATTGATGAATTTTCGGTTCTTTGCCGGTCCTGGTTTGAAAAGGTTAATTTGTTAATTGACGGGGCTTCAAACCCTGAAAGATATATATCAGTCTATCTATCTTTCTTAGTTTCATCTATATTTTTATATTTATCTCTTTATCTATATATCTATCTATCTATCTGTCTTTCTATCTATCTAACTGTCTATCTATCTATATATATAAATATCTAACTATATGTATATCTATCTATCAATATATCTGTCTTTCTATCTATATATCTATCTAACTGTCTATCTATCTATCTGTCTAACTATCTTTCTATTTTAGTGTTTAATACTTGCAAACATTTCTATTTAGAAATATTTTCTCAGTAGGATACCTTCACGCTTGTCTAAAGAAACTTACATTCTCTGTAGCATCCCCCCTCCCTCCCCGTAAACATTCCTGGACCAATTGTCACCTCCCTCCTTTTAGAGATATTGAAATCCATTTGAGCCTGGTTTTAACTGTTAAGTGATTATTGATAATTATTTAGAAATTGGCTAAATATTTACTGCTTACCTCATGCAAGCCTGAATCGGCTTGAAACACTGTATGTGTATCCCCCCCTCCTTATACCAATGTACCATATGTTGGATAAGTATCTAGTTTTTGTGTACTTATCTATTGTTGGTATTTGTTTGTTGTTGTGCAGTACATTGTGCGCTTGCCATGTTCGTGCTACCTTCTCTATTTGCGCATTTCTTGTTTGTGGGCATAGGAAGTTTCTGAATACAACTTTGAAATTAATTCGTTTGTAAATGTGATTCATAGAAATACGACATTTTTCCTTTCTCCCCCTCCCAATCCCGTCCCCCCCTCCCCCTCACTAACATCACCCATTAATTCCTTTATTTCCTTACCCCCCCCCCTCCACTCCCATTATTTATATGATACATCCTGTCCCAATTGTGAAATATACAGGATATAGTCGGGGACACATTTAATCACCTAGCTCCGTCTTAAACAGAATTTAAGTTTGGATTATTATAAAATCAGCTGATAAACAAAATGGCGACTTTTTCAAAATGGCGAATTTAACCAATCTAATTTTATTTATTTTAGCCAAATGCTCACCTGGATGTAACGCTCAGAATGGATACTGCAAGAAGCCCGGAGAATGCATGTAAGTACATTTATCCAAGTCCTAGTTGTAAGAGAGGGGGGGGGGCAACATCCCGCCCCCCCTCCCCACGCTTGTTTAATATAGGGATATGTTTACAAAAAGTAATCCGGTAGTCAACTCCCCCCGCAGACCAACTGTTACCAGACTATTTAAGATAAAAGGGGTGTCTGATGTCAGTTGTTTTGGGGGTCAGATGTTTTTAGGGGTCAGCTGTGGCTCCTGTAGGGAAGGGGGGGATGAAAAGGGGGGGTCCAGTAATGTTCATGGTTTGAAGTTGGGTTTATATCAATGAGAAAATCAAATGTCTTAGTCCAGCCTTTATCAATACATCGTGGGACACTACTTCTGTTAAGAGGGCGGGGGCGTTCAACTATCAANTGTGGGTTTAGGGTTTCCTATATAGTAGACTGGTCAGATTAAAAGGCTGATAAGAAACATGCTAATTATATTTTGTCATTCTATCTAAATCAACTTAAAGATAAATATATAATTCTAAACTTGGGTTTTCTTTCAAAATTTCACTAAAAATTTGGCAAGTTTCCAGACGAATGATATCTTTGAGATTAGCTAAAACCACGGACAAATTATTGAGCAATAAAATTGGTCTCAACCTACATTTTATTGGCTTGGTTTTGGTTGGTAGGAACAATGGTTGTTATATTGGAGATACAAAGCAGTTTTATCCACTTTACAAAGAGCTTTGTAGGTTCTTTTACGTTTATAGACTTGCGTTGAGTTTAATATATTGAAATGTCGCAACTTACCCCACCCACCTTTCTACAAAAATGAGAGGATGCAGCACAAAGTGGGCAACCCCTCCCTCCAGTTTAATTAATGGGGAGATATGTTAAAATTTGTTTTATGGACCTTTGGGTAAAGGTAGCTGAGACTGTAGGGGGTCTATAGACCAGTACACCTAGAGTAAAATACTAAACATTTCAGATCTCTTATCACAGGATTAAGTCCTGCTAAAATCGGGAAAAAATCTGAAAACCAACTCCCCCCCATTGTTCTCCTGAATTCCATTTGACAAAAATTTAACAAACGTTTTTGTTTTTCAGATGCCAGGACGGGTGGCAGGGTCCAGGATGTACAGAGTGCAAGAGATATCCAGGTTGTGTACATGGTACATGCAGTGCCCGGTACACGTGTGAGTGTAAAACGGGTTGGGGAGGTCTTCTTTGCAACAAGGATCTGAACTTCTGCACCAACCATAGACCATGTCATAACGGAGCTACCTGTTTTAATACCGGAGACGATTATACTTGCTCCTGTCCTATTGGTTTCTCCGGGAGGAACTGTGAGACCAGAGTTGTCAGTAAATGCATGGAGAACCCCTGTAAGAACTCAGGAGAATGCTTGGTAAGTTTTTATATAATTCTTTAAATATAAACAATAAATATACTTTCACAGAACTCATGGAGAGTTAAGATTGTATTACAAAACCGTTAGTTTAAACCACAGAGGAGATTGGTTGTATGACCCGGGTTCTATAAAGGACTATATACTCTGTATGGGGGGGGGACTATATACCCTTTAGAGGGGGGGGAGGGGACTCTTTCAAACAGGAAATATCCCAGAGTTTATAGTTCCTTTACTCCTTAGCTTCCCTTCTCTTTACAATATGCCACAGGTTTAGCTTTGTACGGTTTCATTGGGCATGACGGCGCTCCGCTCCTTGACTTCGCAACCATTCAAAACAATGCTTTTCTAAAATTCAAGATGGCCGGGGCAGGATACAAACAAATCATATCTTACTTTATAATCTACGGATGTCAACTCCTGTACGGTTCTTGTTGGTATCATAAATATAATCTTTTCATACTGCCCTCCTCGACAGTTCAGATTAAGTCTGGCTGCTATCATAAAAACCTTCATAATGCCCAGTAATAAATATCCTTTTGCATTGTCATTTAGAGGGGGATTTCTTTAGGGAGCAGGGAGTTTTTGCCACTAAAACTTGAATAAACTGGACTTAAGTCAAGTTTATCTAAATCTAAGTCCTGTTTTACTGATTTAAACTGTGAGCTCTGGTCTGGTATTTTAGAGCATGGCCAAGTCATCCATTTTAATTTGTTCACCTGACTGATCAATCCACCTTGATAAATTATATCTCACCCATCCAGCTTAGATATACAACCCTCTAAAGTCTAGATTAACAAGTCAATGGACCCAGTGGGGGCTAAATTGTACCTAAAATGCTACTTTTAACAGCAATCAAAATGCTAAATATCTTCTGATTTTAAGACAGTCAACCCTGTTGGAGCTAAAACCTATGAATTTTCTATTTTTCAGCCTGGCCGCGACGAAGACTACACATGCCAGTGTAAGGCGGGATCCTACGGACACCATTGTGAGTTCCAGTCGGACTTCGACGTCTGTTCAACCAATCCCTGCGACAATGGAGCTACCTGTACCTCCGGCATGTCCGGATACACATGTACCTGCCCGCCTGGGTTCCAGGGAAGGAACTGTGAAATCAACACCAATGACTGTGAGATGAACCCCTGCAGGAACGGTGGAACGTGCCATGATTTCATCAACAGCTACAAGTGTATCTGCCCCCTGGGATACATCGGGAAGCATTGTGAGGAGAACTACAATGATTGTAAGAACACGCCGTGTGCAAACGGTGGAACATGTCGGGACGGAGTTAATGATTTCACCTGTATGTGCACGCCTGGTTACACAGGAAAGGATTGCTCTCTAGAAATCAACGAATGTGAAGAGAATCCTTGTCTCAATGGTGGATTTTGTATCGATGGAAATAATACCTTCAACTGCAGATGTCTACCCAGACATACAGGAAAATATTGTGAGATTTTGCCTGATGGTTCTATTGATCCTAAATACTACGAACTCAAGGGAGTTCCCACCAATGCTGGGAACTCTGGGAACGCAGCTCTTATTGGAACCTTCTCGGCTTTGGTCCCTTTGATGGTTATTGTAGCAGCTATTATCATCCTTTGCATGAAGCAGCGTCGTAAAATTGAGCAGCAAAGAGCAGATTTTGAGGCCCAGTTAGAAAACGAACTGAACGCAGTGAATTCTATGAACAAAACAAAGATCTTGGACGATCATATGATTGTTAACTCTCTGGATTATCCTCAAAAGAGCATAAACACAAACCCTAACCTAGCAGAAGAAAATAATTTCTCCGCTAAAGAGAGTCAATACGCTCAAATGTCTAGAGCAAAATCCACAAAACAGTTAAACACAGACTCAGTGCAGAGAAGCAGCTTGTATTGTGATAAAGTAGAGAATAGTTACACACGATCAAAGATCGACAAATCAAGATTTGGTGGTCTGACGAAATCAACAAATTTAGACATTTCTTCCTCAACACTTTGTAGTTCTTCTAGGTAAGGTTTAATTTCTCAATCAATATATATTGTCCGGTCTTTCTAATGATCCTAAGTTGGTGGGAACCAATTTTTCATTGAGTTCTTGGATTTGATTTGTCTGGGAAAACTCCCTGTACAACACAGTTTTAAATGTGAAAATTGGTGCTGGACATGGCAGGGTTTACGCGCGCATGGGAAAATGTAGATTTATTAAGTGCCCCCGGCCCCCTTCCTGTGCTTTTTATGCTTTGGGAACTTGGAGACTGTGACGCGTGTGGGATCTACTAGATCTTTTGACTTGTCATTAGACCGTGCTCAACCACTATCATTATTGTCCCCAAAAACCTACAATATGTCCTAAAATAAATGCCCTAAATGACCACCCTTTACTATGCAAGAACTTGTGTACCATAAAACTACACGTCATGTTTTTTTGCCCATCCCTTTTTCCCTTTTCTTCAATTCTTCCTTCAGTTTTTGCTTCTATTCCTTTTTAAATCTGGTTTTTTATTATAATTTTTATTTCCTTGATCTTTTTTCTTCATTCTTTCCCCCCTGTTTTCATTCCTGCCTGTGTCGAATTTTGGATGTACTTGTTGATTCACGAAACCATAATTTGTAAAGGGGAATTTTTCCTAAAATCAAAACTTTTCGTCTATTTTATTTTCCTGGTTTTTTATTAGGTTCTCAAGGGTTCCCTATAAAATATTACCCCCCTAGGTTCTCAAGGGTTCCCTATAAAATTCAGCAAATTTGGTTCAGCTGTTTGGCCAGCTAAAGCAAACATATATATTAATACAAGTGTATATAGGAATATATGTGTGAAGAGATTTATTTTATAGATATATATACTTTTTTTCCGACAGGAATAACGTTTTCAAGATTACAATTGTACGCGTAAATTATTTAAAAAAAATAAAATTGCTTTAAATGATCTTACTAATTTTTTCAATATATGTACGTTTTATGGTACAGGGTGTCCAACGAAACATGACAGTTGGTAAATAGTTTAGTATTCTTTAGTATTCTTCCATAATTTGCTTAATTGTTTGATACCAGAGACAATAATAAAATATTATATATGGGTCATGTTATCGTAAAATTAATTTCAAATTAAAATATATTTGAGCAAAAGATTTTTTAACAAATAAACGGCATACAGTCTTTACTATCTAATACAGTGTATGAAAGACGACATTCAAAACTATTTACCGATTGTAATGCTTCGTGGGACACCCTGTACATCTACACAAATTTATCAAAGGTTTATTGTTTTCCCTATGGCAGTTTTTCAAATTCAATACTTTCCGAAAATCTTAAAATTTATAAAATTAGAGGGTAGGAGGATATGTTTTTACGCCTATTTATTGAATTCAATATTATTGTATTGTTTGATGTATAATTTTACAAATATACAACATAGAATTAGGGCTCTATGTAAAACCGACAACAGTTTTTTTTTATTTTATATAAAACATTAAATATGAATATACTTCTAAGTTTCAAACATAAAAAAGAAAGGCGTAAGTTAAAAAAAAATATACATCTTTATTTATATCTTTTTGGAAAGTTGATTTCTTACACTGAACGTACTACACCTATGCTCATATTAAATAATAAAAAACTTCAAATCTAATTTTTTTATTTAATTAAATTTATTTTTTTATTTGTACCAACTCGTAATATATTTCTGTACCAATTCCAACGGAATGGATTCTTAACCGCCATATATAAATTTGACAACTTGAAACCACGTTCAACCATCAGTTTCTTTTCTCACAGTTCTTGACTATTAGTTTGATGTTTAAAAAACCATTTAATTATAATATACTAATTTTTCTTTATTTTTCAGTGAAAAATCCGGGTTCAAGAAGGATCTTAACCGAGATATGTTCTACTCCGGCGGAGCATCTTGTGGATCCGCCTCACCCGCCCCATCCTCCGTTTACAATATGCCGGAGGATCCGGGCAAGTGTATCGAAGACGACCTTCTCGCCACCGAGGTGTAAATCTACGAAATGTCCGGCTAAGTGTACACTGTATGTACTGCCGCAACTCTATTTGAAGGCTCGTGTTCAATGTTTGGGTGATTTCAACACCTGAAAACCAAAGAAGTGAGTGGGGGCGTGGCGGAAACCGCCTGATTTTGTCAGAAAACGGAGAACTTGGTTGGGGCGGGGGTGTGGCCCCAGAGATGCGCCTGATCTCAACGATGCAACCCAATGTTCTCCCAGATCCATGCAAAACTATTTTGCTGCTTAGAGCTTCTCTGTTTCTTACTTTTATTTGGGCTGGCGGCAGATATATGCATATTTGCCGCCAGTTTCATTACTCCACATGTTATTCATTCTGAAATAGTATATTATAGCATTTTATACGCTTTAGTTGTTATTTGTAAAAGCATTTTGACGTGTTTTTAAACACTTAAGTTACCCTTAAAGTTACAATAAACCATTTTGTTCAGTATATACCGTAAACCGATGTTCCTTTAATATTAAAGTCATAAAATAAAATAAGTTAAATTTAATCCATGCAATTTTAAATCCATTCAATATAATAGCAAAGCCGATCTATGTTTCGGGGGGCCGAAATTCATTGGCTGTTTTTGTCTTTTGTTTGCTTTTTACAAAATATAATATGAGTCACAATGTTAGTATGTTTTATATGTATAAAGGGAATCATAGATTTCTATTAAAAAATAAATTAAAAATAAATGAAAACAAATATTATGAAAATGAGAGGAGATTTTTTGAAAGAAAATTGTTAACATTTATTTTTCCTAGAGTTTAGAATAAAAAAATCGAATTTTAAAGAAAAAATCGAATAAAGAGTTTTACTGACACTATTACGATCCTTTAGCGAAAAAATGTCCTTTTTATATTCTAGATCAAAAATAGTTTCAAACAAAGGAAAACCCATTTCAAAACTGAATTCTAAAAAAATATGTAAAACACTATTTGAAAACAAAGAAGACCAAATTTAAGACGACATAATTTTTCATTTTTCACTGAGTCTAAATAAAAGAATTAACAGGCTTGATAAAGTTTAAATATTATATAAATTAAATTTAATTATTTAACAGATTTTACAGAAAATAACGGTACAAAAACATTACTAGAAATGCTTACAAGTAGTGCTTTAATTCAGGTGGCGTCGCAACCGAGTAATGGACCAATTATACAAGACGTCACAAGTGTCAAATATATCAAGAAAAACGAATGTTCTCACATTAGTTGATCTGTTTTCCAAGATTAAATAAAAAAGTGTAAAAACAGAAAATAAAGAACTCAAGATAAGCACTTTATTCTATAATTATCACTATTATTAATAATTTTGTCTGACGCACAAACTGAGTTGACACTTGTGACGTCAGAAAACAGCTGTACTGAGTGTGTACAAATTCTACATTGCCATCGATTGTACTTGAATCTATTTGATATTTCGGTAGTGTTTGCCTTTATTTTCTGTTAGGGTCAAAATTTAGAATAATATAATGGTAGCAAATGTTTTTTATTTTTTTTATTTGAACATTTTTGTTTCTTAAACTGTGCTAAATGTTGACCCTGGCAGAAGATATAAGCGAAAAACGATGAAGAAACGGACGTTTGGTAACGATTATTTTTAAACCGTTTTTCCATTTTTTTTAAAGGATTTTTAAAGTTTAATAAAAGATATTGCAAAGTTTAACAGCAAACTTTAACAAAATAAAGTTTTAAATATTGGAGGATTTGGTTTGATTTGTTTCTAAAAGCGAAGCAAAACGATTAACAACACTATGTTGTAAGTTACAAGAAATGCTGACGTACTTTTAAGTGTCCCTTAATATAGGGCCCTATTCACAACGGTACCCTTGAACCCTTAGTCTGAGCAGGAATAAAAAGAATATGCTTCACTAAAAATTGACAATTTTCGGTGCGGTTTAATAATAAAACAAGACATTCATATATACGGACCGATTGGACTGAAATTTTGTGTGGACATTCATGGGGGGAGGGGGGGTGTTATAGGCTAAAAATGTTGGAAATTTTTTTCTTCAAAATTTTGGAAACTTTTTCCTCGGGCAATGCAGGGCCTTTCATCTAGTTATCTATTAAAGTAAGCTTGCAAAGAATTGCTAAAAATAAAAAGAAGGACATTGTCAGAATTTAACTCTTGTTAAAATATAAACACGATATCTTCCTCATTGTTTCTCAAACAAATGATTAAAGGGTACTGTTGTAAATCTGACAACTTGAAACCACGTTCATGTCCTTTAAACACAAGGAAAAGATGTCGTATCTTAATTAGTCAAAAACAGCAACAATCATTAAAGATATATTTCAAAAAATGATTTTATTTTATACTTTATAAATCTTCATAAACTTTTTTTAACAACGGCTGTCAAAACTCAAAATTAAAACTAACGACGACGGAATATATACTGTCTCTATTTCACTAATTTCAATCACATTTTGATATCTAAATTCAATATCCCCCAAAAAAGCATAAAATACTGTATATACTTTAATATTCGAAATACAGAGTCCAGCAAAAAAGTATTAAATATCAAAAATCAATATTAAATGGGTAACAATCGGTTATCTAAAGTTTTAACCAAGACCTAAGATTTTATATTAAGGCGGAAATATAAACTATAAAAACATTAGAATGTAGACAAACATAACCCCCCCCCCCATAACTCTCTTATCAGTGCCTTATCAAAATACGCTTCTAAGGATCATATTCGATAAAAATCTACCCAATTCTGGAAATTCGACAAAATTATTTTAAAGATAACGTTTTATTCAGATTTTTCACGGCCAGAAGCAATTTTAATAAAAGTGTGCTGTGTGTTTTTTTTTAAATTTTGAAATGTCGGTCACAAAAATAAGTTATTTTCAACGAAACATTCTGTAAAGTGTCCATCTTCTATTTTAATTGTGAAAATTTTCTCTTTGTATAAATGTGAAATAAAAACAAACGAAAAATTTCGCAGATTTTAAATTAAAAATCGATTTTTGTTAGAGCCTATTTTTTGAAATTTTAATCATCCATAAACCTTCCCTGGGGTCATTGAGGTCCCACACAAAATTTGGTCCCGTTCGATTCAGCCGTGTTGACGTTTATTGGATACAAACAAAAAAACAAGCAAGCAAACACCCAATTGCAAGATATCAGTTGAAACAATTAAATACTACAAAATCTCACTATAGTTAAAAAAAATGAACAAAGACGACCTTTATTCCACAGTTTTCTGGTTCTCACCAAAAGCACAAAAGTACAGGAAAGGTGCACTGTGTGGATAAAAAGTTGCACAAAAAGAATCAGACTTCAGAGACAACTGTACGAAATTTAATCAGTCTTTTTACTTTAACATGTATACTTTGAAATGTTTCCCTCAGTAGTTTAAGTTTAATTAAAACCCAAGAATAAATCCTCAGAATGTTAGAGATTCAGGTTGTTAATTAATTCTCATTCTTTGCGGACAACCCTGTATGACCAGCTGATATGTCCGGCACTGCTTGTGAAACTTTTAAAAATCGAAATAAAAAAAAAATTTAGCCTATATTACCCCCCTAGGTTCTCAAGGGTTCCCTATAAAATATTACCCCCCTAGGTTCTCAAGGGTTCCCTATAAAATATTACCCCCCTAGGTTCTCAAGGGTTCCCTATAAAATATTACCCCCCTAGGTTCTCAAGGGTTCCCTATAAAATATTACCCCCCTAGGTTCTCAAGGGTTCCCTATAAAATATTACCCCCCTAGGTTCTCAAGGGTTCCCTATAAAATATTACCCCCCTAGGTTCTCAAGGGTTCCCTATAAANACTTAATTGATTCCAATAATCGATTTAAAAAAATTCTTTTTTTCTTAATTCATTTTCAGAAAAAGTTTTTTTTGAAAAATAAAAGAAAAAATTTTGTTTTCATTTTAGGCAGGGTAGGCCTATAGGGGAGCGGGATAATTTTTCTGTTCCGTCGTTACCCCAATCACAATTAAAACTGAAGGAACAATGTCAAATGTATAGCGGACCACGGGCAGCCGTAGTACATATGAATTTCCGAGCCGGGTCAACCTTTCCGGTCCCAGTTTGTACTGTATCGCCCGGACATTGGGTAAATAAAGCAGACACTCAATAGGACTGGTCCGTGCAACAAGGTTGACGCGGTCAGACTTCAGGTTGGATTTACTTTTACTAAAGGGTCAGAGGTGTGTGGGACAAACTGTTACAACTTTCCGAGAACAGAATTCTTGTAGTTTTGATTTGACATATCATAGAAAGGCAAACTTAATTGGTTCTAAAAATGAATTTTTAAAACTCTTTGTCTTTCAATTTCTTTTCCTAAAAGGAGGTTTTAATTGAAAAGTTTAAGTGTTAAAATGTAATTGAGTTTATTTCTTGATTAAGATTACTGCCCCGTCTTTTTCAAAGTTAACACATAGATATTAAAATTGTGTAGCCAAGGAGCATTTATTGAGCTCACATTGACAATGTAATTAATTTCAAATTTTGATTCTCAAAACAATAAAGTTGAATTGTTCACTAAATATTTTACATTTGTTAAAATTAGCTAAATATGTCTTTAAAGGGACTGTACAGTTAATTTCAAGTGACATCAAGTGGCATGTTCTATCGACAAAGGTGCTCTAAAAAGCTTTGTCTGATAAAGTATTAATTAGATTTCAAAAACCTATACAGACATTATCTAAATTAAACACTTTTTAAGTAAAAAAAGGTGTTATCTTCCAAATAATTAAACGTGTTCAGGGTAGTGATGTGAATCGGAAATGCCCATCTAAAAATGGAGGGTCACTTAAATTACGACGTGAGTCCCATTAAAGTTAAAACTTTTTCACACTCAGACGCTATAAACTGAAACCATGCCATGCCTTTGAGTTAGAAATAAACCTTATTTTAAACTTATTTCATTAAAAAATGTAATTATTTTAGTTCTTGAGCTTAAAACGTTTAAACGTTTGATCGTTTTCTTTTCTAAAAATTTAATTCTAAAAACGTTATTTTTAGAAAAGTTTTATTAATATAAAAGAATTGGAGGTAAGTTAACATTTCTCTGATGAACTAAATAGATTTCTATTTCTATACAATTAACTTTTTTCATATTATTTTAACTCTAATTGTATTCAGTATAAATAAAGAATCAACAAAACTGGAAGTTTCGAGATTTACACAAATCCCAAAACCAAAATTTATTAATAACAATTTTTAAACTAAACATTTTCAAATTACTATTTTTCAATTTTTTTTCACAGATTTCATCTGAAATCAAAACTCCTGTTTTTTATCCAGATTTTGTAGAACGGTTAAACCACAAATCATGGTGTATAAGTGTATGGTTAGGATGACATAGGGTAGGTAGAGAGGGATGGTCAAAAACATAACATAATACTCAACCCGAGTATAGGCTTTTCCGAAATACTTTCGACTTTCGTTCAACAACGGTACAGTTCTTATTTCTTTTTTAATATATTTTTATTGTAAACATGTCTATTTCTAGCTTGAATTATTGTTATGTCGATTCAATTTTGAT